TTTTTTCACCTAGTTAACATTTTGTTTGTATTATTCATGCATATTTTACAAATCACTACCCCCTCAAATGGAAATATGTGTTTACATAAATGGTGACCGAATCGTTTGAGACCACCTCAATGCAAAAGCTATAGCAGCTAGCGTGGAAGCTAGCGTGGACGTTAGCCCGACTCGGAGTACAAGGACCCACACCCAATTCGCGTTGATCAAACAGTGGCCTATGCAACAGAGAGATTTTATTTTTCATCAGGATATTGGAAGAATAGGAGGGATTGAGGTCAATCACTGGCACTTTTTTATTTTATTTTAAATGGTACACTTTATGTTGAACTATTTATTATGTTGTTGGTGCAACTGGCACTTTATGTTGAACTGTTCATTGTTTTGGCCAAGGTTATTGAGAGAGTTGGACTGAAATGTATTAGATTTTTTAAATCAACTGTTGGTAAATCAACAAAGTCTGTTATGGCCTCTGAAGCAACAGAGAGATGTTTTCTAATAGTCAGGGTTTCCAATGTTCTGAATGTACTTGAAAGTATTGTGTTTTACTTAAAAAACAAAGTGTTATAGTTTACAGAAGGTCTACCTACCTATAGGCTACCTGAATCTCTGAAATGTACTATATTCCTAAATATGCTATTGCTACACTTTTTGGCAAAAATTGCACTTTTCTGTTGGTCTTGGTTAAGAACCTCCTTGAAAAAAATAAACAATGTTTTGTTGCTTAAGCTTATGTATTCAGTCATTATTCAATGGTATACTAAAATCCATGTGAAAAAAATTGCTTCTCACTGTTCTCAGGTCAAATATTTAAATGTGATTAAAAATGCGATTAATTGCGATTAATTAATTACAAAGCCTGTAATTAATCAGATTAATTTTTTTAATCGAGTCCTGGCCCTAATTTAAACATATATGTTATAGGTGCTAACATTTAAACAAACTTTATTCTTTACTTTCTCCGTCTTTATGATATCAGATACCGTCATGTTGTTTCCATAGCAACAACAACTTCCTGTCAACAGCTCCTGTTTCACCTGCTTAATACAGTCATCATCACTGCTACTGTGGTCACATCGGGAACCCGTAACATTTACAATAGTTGAGATGTGAAGGGGGTTATGTTTTTTTGTCTGTGTTCTGGGTTCCTGCAGTTTTTTGAACAGACATTCACATTACACACGTTCAGAGGATGAACGTGTGTACTGCCTGTGGGAGTTTACGTTGTTGACAGGAAGTTGTTGCTGCTATGTTGCTTTACATGTTATGCATTTCAGTTCTTCAATAACATTACTTAATTAACACTTCACTTTCCTGACACAGTTCCACTAACATACATTCACTGTCGATTGTTATTTTTTAATATTCTTTGCGGAATTTGGCCGTGTAAAATGTCTTCTTGGGTTGCCGTACAGCCAATGCGTGACGTCATTAGTAAGTGTAACGGACCCCGTGCTGGTCTGGTAGGCCGTGCAGATATGGTACCTACACCGGCTCGCAGTTCTTGTTGATTTGGGTATATTTCCTGGACAGGCTACTTTGTACAGACAAAGTTCATAATAATTTTAATATCCCAGTTATAAACGACATGAATCAAAGATGTGTTGCTGTATTTTAGTGGTAAAAAAATGCATTTATCATCATAATTATTCTATATATATAATTTACACAGGTGTCAATAAACCAGAGGAGAACACTGGCATTTCTCCTCCTACTTGAAAGACTACGGAGGGATAGAGTGGCGAAGTCACGCCCATCTACTTCTGGTCCATGGGACCTTATTTCGGAAAAATTATGTATTGAAGTCAAGGGAGAGAGAAGAAATAAGGTCCCATGGACCAGAAGTAGATGGGCGTGACTTCGCCACTCTATCCCTCCGTAGTCTNTCAAGGTAAGCATGTCTTTACATCTGTCTGTTTTAAGACTTGGTTAGACCGGCTGAAGAATAATAAACTACTTCTAACTTTTATTTCAAAGTAATTGCTTAAAAGATTTTAAAAGGATTTTAATTGTTTCTAAGATTAAACAATGACACATGTAATTAGCCATCAGTATTGTGTGTGTGTGTGTGTGTGTGTGTGTGTGTGTGTGTGTGTGTGTGTGTGTGTGTGTGTGTGTGTGTGTGTGTGTGTGTGTGTGTGTGTGTGTGTGTGTGTTCGCCACTGCGACATCCCCATGTTGGTAGCCATTGTTTAATCTCCAAAGTAGTAACTGAGTGATGGTGCTTTGTCCCTCAGTGGCTGGAGAGCGATTACTCCACACAGTGGTGCTACGAGAACTTCATCCAGTTCCGCTCCATGAGAAGAGCCCGGGACGTCCGGGACCAGCTGGAGGGTCTGATGGATCGCATAGAGGTGGAGGTGGTGAGCTCCCATGGAGAGACCATGCCCATTCGAAAGGTCAGTGAAGCCCCCCTTCCCACAGCACGAAAACACACTAACACCTGCTAACATCTGGCCCGTCTCAAGTGGAAATCAGCCTACAATAATTCCCTGGACAAATGATTGAAATGCAGTAGAGACAGGGCACAATGTTTCTTGACCTACGTTGAACTGAATATATAATTAAGAAAATCAAAGGGGATTTTTTATAATTAATATAAAATCATAACAATGTCTTTGTCAAAGTTACAAAACTTCATGGACAGAAAGAGTTATTTTACCTTGATTATCGTAAAATCAACTTCATTCAAACTCAACATGACACAAAATAAAACATTCAGCTGTTCATTCATTTCTACTGCGTCAAACATGACCTACAAAAAGAGAAACAAAGACATATTTGTCTAGTGGCATGTAGACAGTGTTAAGCAGGTTCCCCTACATTTAAAAACTGCATCAACTCGCTTATTTTGACGGAACAGTTGTTGTGTAGAGACCACTGATGTTTTAATATGGTTTCCTGACAAAAAACATGAAACCTCAACCGTGAGCCCAGATGTTGTGATCATGGCTACTTGTCTGGCCACGTCCTATAGATATGTTGCTAGTTTGCAGGCAGCAGAGGTTTTTTCTCACTGTTAAAGTGGGGTGTTTGTAGCAACTAGAACAGCAGTAGAATGCAGACAGATAAGCACTGAAGAGGTTAATCTTTGACAAACAAGACCGAGCGATACATTCTGAAATCATGGCGAAGATGTTGCCTTTTCGACAGAGACAAACACTGCCTCCAGTCAATATTTGCTTCCTTTTGTTATTCCTCAGGCTTAACAATGTAAAGGTTAACAACTTAAGACGAGTGACAAGTATTTAAAACTTAACACAGGAGGTCCGACTGTGATAACACACAGAAGATTTCAAGCTGCTCATTTTAGCTTTAAACGGATAGAGCCTACTTTTGCTGAAGAACACTTTTAGCGAGTGGATGCTTCCTTTCACAACAGATTTATATCAAGATAATGGACTCTTATAAAATTATAAAGTAAGCCGGTTCAAATCCGAGCCAGCCGAACATTTAGGCTATGTCCTCCCCCCTGACTCCCCCTTTAACTCTAAGATCTCCAATAAAAGCCCTTTGGCTCAAACAATAAGGAAGTGTACAAGCTAAAACATCCCTGAACAGAGGCTGTTGTAGCCTTCTTATATCTGTGTGTGTTGTGAACGCACCCCTAAACCTCTTGAGATAAGAAAGGGCGTTTGTTTTATTAGTTGTGTTACACCTTCTTTCATCACATGCAGTGTGTGAAAAATCCTGAAGACAAATAATTAACAAATATAAAGCGAATGAAATGATATTAGAAACTCTAGTTGTCACCACGTTTCCAAACATGTATCAGTCTACGAGATTGGATCCATAAAGAAGCTGATAACATTGTGTGAGTTCTTTGTTTTAAGCCGGGGGGGCGCTGACACCCCCATGCTTACATGCAACTTGCAAGTGACACAAATAATCTAGATCTGCTTTTCTTATTGCATGACTGGTTGTAGGTGTTATCTGTCAGGTGCATTTCCTGCTGTCCCTTTTTTAAGCATTAGTTTTGTGAACACACCCAACTCCACCTGGCCGAGATAACAGCCGCTGTGGAAAGTTTGCCTGCATCTTGAAACGAGGTTGGAAAAACAGGTCCTGATGTTATGTTACGTATCTGTTAGAAAATCACAAAAGAAACCCGACAGCAATCATAAATCCTCACTTGTTGTTCACCTTAAGAGAATTCATTATCTGCTGTTCCTGCTTTCATTCCTTGGCGGTTATTTACCGACTGGATGCAGGTTTTTCCCCGTTGAGTAATCTTTGAGTCATGGTAAGACGGCAAAAAACTTGAATTGTTTTAGTAACACTGTTGTGTCAAAGACTGTGATCATACAGAGTCCATTAAGAGAAGAGCTCATTTCTTGAGGGAAACCCTGATGAGTTATAAGCCACAAAAGCTCTTAGTGCCGGATTGAAAACAAAAAGGTCATATTAACTTTCTCTATTACAGATTTTTGTGGGGATAAAAATCAATCTGTTATTTGAACAAATTGAAAAATAAATTCTCTTCACTCAAAAAATGCATGTTTTCACAGGATGGCAAACTCTTATGCTGTACTTCCTATACTAATAACAAGCGAGTCAAAGCATTAACACCTTTTTGACATTCCTCTTTAATTGTTAAGTATCTCAAAAGTCCTCACATACTGGGCTTTATCACATCTTAATGACACATCTGCAATCCAACTGTATGAATCAGGAATCGGCTTTCATTGACCCCTCTCTCGTCTGTCTCCCAGTCGGTGACTGCAGGATATTTCTACCACACGGCACGACTGAGCAAAGGCGGCTACAAGACGGTGAAGCACCAGCAGACGGTCTACGTCCACCCCAACAGCTGTCTGTTCGAGGAGCAGCCCCGCTGGCTCATCTACCACGAGCTGGTCTTCACCACCAAGGAGTTCATGAGACAGGTCCGTCTGCTCAAGATGTCACAATTCATTTACTATGAAACACTAAATCTCTTTTCAGTACCTGCAGAGATTGGAGATTATTGTTGTTGCTGTGCTGCATGTCTGCTAGGGGTGGGAGTCACCAGGCTCCCCACGATACACAAGATTTTCATCGGCATAACTACACTGTAGCTATGTTCGTATGACTAAACAAAGAACCTTGATACGATACTATTGCGATTCTATGGTATGCTAAGTATTGGGATACCATATATTGCGATATATTGCGGATATCATTTGATATATATGATTCCATGATATATAGGGTTCCTGTGTCTTTAACATGTGACAACCCAATCCACTTTATTTCTATAGCACATTTAAAAACAACAGAGTTGAACAAAGTGCAGTACATCAATAACTGTATAAAAACATAGTATAAATACTAGGGCCGGGACTCGATTAAAAAAATTAATCTAATTAATTACAGGCTTTGTAATTAATTAATCGCAATTAATCGCATTTTTAATCACATATAAATATTTGACCTGAGAACAGTGAGAAGCAATTTTTTTCACATGGATTTTAGTATACCATTGAATAATGACTGAATACATAAGCTTAAGCAACAAAACATTGTTTATTTTTTTCAAGGAGGTTCTTAACCAAGACCAACAGAAAAGTGCAATTTTTGCCATAAAGTGTAGCAATAGCATATTTAGGAATATAGTACATTTCAGAGATTCAGGTAGCCTATAGGTAGGTAGACCTTCTGTAAACTATAACACTTTGTTTTTTAAGTAAAACACAATACTTTCAAGTACATTCAGAACATTGGAAACCCTGACTATTAGAAAACATCTCTCTGTTGCTTCAGAGGCCATAACAGACTTTGTTGATTTACCAACAGTT